CCCATATGGGCGTGTATCTTGTGCCTCAGATCGAGTTCAAGCATGCTGTCGAGATGCAGCTCATCCCTGACGAACCCTATCCTTGCATTGTTCCAGGCCAAGAATTGAAACGTAGCAAAGAGAGGTCCCCCTTGGTCGGGGCAAAGAATGAGGCGGAGGGCCTCATCCGGCATATGTGTGTCCCAACGGCTGCTGCCTGTCGATCGGTTCACAACATAACCCAGAACCCCATCGCCCGTCGCGTGAAGTCGTCTCTCTTCGGCGTCGGGGTTGACTGGAGCACACGGGGTGCTCGGGAACAGCTGGTCGAGGCTGAGGCCAATGTGGCTCATTGCATTCGAAACAGCCTTCAGCTCCTGCTTGGCAGCCAATCTGTCCTCTTTGAGAGCATTGAGTGCTTTCGGCCTAAGTAGAATCACTGAATCGCACTGGCTGTCTCCATGCATCCCAGAACACTGTATGAATTGCATGAAGCAAGCAGCAACTGCTTCTTTTCGTGGGGTTTCGTCGGCTCGGCCAGGACGGCTTTGGTGTGGGCTTCGGCAACCATGGCTGCCGCGGCCAACTTATCGCTTGCGGAGGCTGTGCTCGGGAGCAGGGTGCTCAATCTTTGCAGCGTGCCAACCGATAGCTGGTCCGGTAGGGCAAACACAGGCAGCCACACCTTACTTCGGTTCAGTTCCCAATCCCAACAAATCAAATGCAAGCTACAGTACAACCTCAAAGTGCCGCCCAGACTCGTCGTGCTTCGCTTTGGGGCTGGCATCGCAAATTAATGCGATGGACTTGTTCTGCAGGCCCTTGAGAACCTGGACTGGATGCAATCAGAGTTGAGGATCGAGGCCTGGATGGGGGTTTCGATTTCACTTTCGGTGGCCTGCTGCGTCGTCTGTTGAGTCTTGCAGAGATAGCGGTGCACGAAGTCAGCCGTCGTCCTGATGTAGTGTCGTGAGTAGAAGCAGCAACTTTGATACAAGGCGAGCTCTCCTTTTTACAAAACTAGCCAGTCCTGTTGTAATGCGTGGGGCACAGCGACTCGAGCCCCACCTCCTTCAAGCTTGCATCCGCCTGGCTGCTGCAGAAGCCACCGCCACGTGACAGGAATCGGGCGATGGCCATCTCCGATTTTGGCTTGCTCTCCAGCTTCAATCGTCGTCCGTCCCTGGTCGCAGCAGAACAGCAAGCTCAGCCAAAGCCCTTGCCCCAGCAAGCCCAAACTAACTCATTGCAGCCGAGGATCTTGGTCGCCGGGTGGAACTTATGCTCTGGAGAGAGGGGCGGCATCACATTGGTGGCCAGGTTCTCCAAGGATTTCTCAGCAGCTTGACTCAAAAGATGCACCAGCCGTCGTTGCAGCCGAGCAAACGTGGTTTTGTCCTCGGTTGCGGGTTGTGCGACTCGACACAAGGACTTCAAATCTAGGCATTCTATTTATTGTTGCCAGGCAATTGAATTGAACTAGAATCAATAAATAATTACAATAAGAAATTACAAGACATGATAAGTGGCATCCAGGCTATCCGCGTGGGGCAGCCGAAGCAGAAACCACACGATCAAAGGCAAACGAAGGCCTCAGGGTATGAGCGACTCTCGGGAAGTATTGCTAGTCCATAGGAAATATTATAGAATATAGATTAGATTGCACAATGGACCAGCCTGTGTCCACTGACTGCTCTTCCTTGGAGAGCAGCTTGCAGCCCTGCCACCTGCATGCTTTCTGCTGTTTCATGTTCGGAGGGAAGGCACAAGGGCAGGTAACAATTAGGCATTACTTGGGACCTCTGCTTCAGATTCGCATACTCCAAGAAAGCTTGCCACGAGGCCAACGACACATAGCCGTCGTGCACATGCAGCAGACCTCAGATAGCCCTAAGCCAAACACACATGTCACGATAGAGGCAGCTGCAGCAGCACGATGATGTTGGCATGATGATGTAACGATGGAGGATCTCAAGCCAAGCGACAGGCCTCGTTCCTGGGGAGCAAGGCCAGTCGGAAGCTGTCCAAAACGGTAGTCCCCAAGATCACATCTAACGTTGTCAGAGCAGATGACTGCATCTCCTCTTTGCAGCCACGGCTTTGCAAGACGTACCCTGCCTGCTCCAAGGTTGCACTTCAGTTGATGCACTGCTGCTTGGACAGCACTGGAAACAGAAGTGCTAAGATCATGTAGCCAAGTCACCATGAAAATCGCACCGGGCACTGTTAACCCGTCGAAGGGCAGCCGGGGGCGCTGGGGGTTCGTTTTGGAGGTCGGGCCCTTGTAGCTCGCTTTTCTGATGCAATGAAAGTTGATCAAATCAATTCGCCAGGCTTCGCAGGTATCCATGACGAGCCCCTCGTGCCTCAGATCGGAGAACATGGCTTGGGCTATGGTAAGGTCCGGCCAGCAAGGATTTAATTAAGTGTTTGAGGGTAGTGGGTTTTCAAGTAGGCAAGGGTTTCGGCAACAACAAATATATGTGTTATTTGTGTTTCTTATTCGAACTAGTATGAGTACTGTTATTAGAGAATGGAATTCAAGTTTAAGTAGGCTAGTTAAAAAGAGTGATTACATTTAGTAGGTCTTAGTCAGGGCCGGGCTTGTAGTAGGCGGGGCACAATTTCGAAAAGAAGTTGTGGAAGTGCTGCTGCCTTTTCGACAAAGACCACAGCTCCTCCACCCGGAAGAGCATTCGGTAGCCCTGGATGTCGTCGGCCACCTGTGCGTGTGTTCATCTGTGAAAGACAAATATCAATCAACCAGTTAACATCAGTTTTATCATTCATATTCAATAACCTATCAATATCAGGACTGCAAAACCAGCTCTCCTATGTCTGTGCCTTGTGTACTTGTAGAACTCCCTTGACGGCTTTGGTCGAGGCCAGGTAGAGGGTTTCGAAGCTGTGGTAGTCTTGCCCAGGACTACAGCTGCTGTCGTCAGCTGCTGCATCTGATGCCTGGCCTTCGTTACTTGCTTCTGCAGCAGCACCGAAGAGTCTCGGCCGAAACCAAAGGCCACAGGAAGCCGCTCTGGTGCGAAAGCTCAGCAATGCCTCCTGCCAGACGGAAGCTTTAGTTACTTTAGTTATTGATTGGGGTTGATTCGCTTGAGTGGTCAAACTAGAGCAAGCGGCATAAGCCCCGGGCCTCCCAGGCTGGAGGACTGACATCTAGTGACCCAACAGGTCTGTTGTTGGCGAAGCAGCCATCCATGTACTCTATTTTTTTCTGGATGTCATTCCTGAGCTGGTCTCTTTCCTCGTCGTTCTGAAGCCTTGGATTCTGGCTATTGCTGGATCATCGCAATTCAGAACTGAGTGAGCACGTTACACCCGAGCAAGCACGTTCACCAACCCCCACCGGGAAATTGCAGCCGAGAATCCCTCGCAGCTTCTCTATCCTGCCTTCCAGCCAGGAGACAGCTGCCATGGTCGCCTAAGATGCTCGCTCAAGCTGGCATGCTCACCGGATGCGTTTTTTTCGTCGGGGTGTGCAACCTTGGCGAAAGTTTTTTGCGAGCTAGCACGTACTCCAGCAAACGGCGGGGAATCGAGCCAGCACGCTGGTTTACTGTGTGTTTGGCCACCTAACCACAATATCGGCCGTCTAACAGAAATGCATTCTACCTCGCTGTTTTTTGTCGCCCTGAAGCGGGATCGCGGAGAAAAAAACCGCGTCAAACGAGCACGGTGCGGTGAGCGAGCACGTAGAAATTGCAGCCGGCAGCAGGTGCCCGAGCGGGCACGTTAGGTCCCAGCGAGCACGTTGGCAGCACCAGTCAGCACGATCGGAACACCGAAACCTCTACTTAATGACCAAAACACCCACTTCGCCTTCTATTCTCTCTTCCAGCAATCCCGCCCAATCCGAGCCCGGCTGCCGCCCGGCCCCCGCCAGCCCCAGCCCCGCCAGGTGCCCCAGCCCAGCCCGCCCCACCCCACATTCAGCACTCTCTGGCTCTTTTGCAACCAAGGAGCAGCAGGGCCAGCTGGGCACCAAAGGCGAAACCACGGCAGCAAAAGCGATTGGGAAGGGCTCGTTACTTAAGGTTTGGTTTCCGGGCACACTTTCGGGTTGCGGGCACACTTTCGGGTCGCTAGAGTGCAGCCAACCTTTCGGAAGATTCTTTGGGGTTGTTCGACCTGAACCGAGTAGTTTCTCTTTTGGAGGCAGACATAGTTCAGTGCCAGGTTGAGACTGAGGTTCATCCTACTTGGGCTTGGGGTTGGTTTGTCAGTGCCTGGGGAGAAGTAACTTGCACGAACGGAAGCTCGCCGTGTGTCTAGAACAAACAGGTGGCTTAGGCTTAGGGCTAGGCCAGGGTTTTAGTAGACAGGGATGTCAGGACTTCGGCGGGTTCGGGCTTTAAAGCTGTAGGTTCGAGTAGCTAATGTATGTTGTTAAATTAAGAAGATTTTACTATTATTCTGATTATTATCATTATTATGCTTCTTCGTCTACATTGTCTAGTGACTCTAGTCGTTCCGAATCAGAAGCTTTCTTCCTTGATTCATGGTGTGTCACTTTGTGTTCCTGTAAGAGCCACGACCTCACACGGCATGGCAATGATTTAGGTTCATGTAGATCTCGCACACAGACCTGCACTTCACAATGGGTGCTCCTGATCATTATTCGGCTCAGTGGCTGCATGTCTGGCAAAGAGCAGAACTGCCCACGGCCGTGTTTTAAGAGAACCACAGCCTGTCTGCAGCAATCAGCAAGCTTCCTGGAACACAGCTCAGCAAAATGCCTAGATCATCCTCGGTGCTTTGGACATTGGCAGCAGTAGTGAATGAAGCATGCTTCGACTCGCCCGTTGAGCAGCCTAGAACCTAAACCTGGCCCTGCATATCGAAACCCTGAAGTCCATCACACCGGGAAACAGCGTGGCAGCCACTCAGGTTGTCGGCTTAGCGGCCCCTGGGCGTCGCGACGGTGTCGTCGAGGCCACTGCATCTTCCTGGGAGCTAGAATCAGCCAGCTGCAAGATTTTGGAAACTGTTCCCATGACATTACA